ATCTTATAGGCAATGAGGAATCATTAAAAGCTTGAAGCAAGTGTCAGATTTGCGTTTTTAGGAAGGCCGTATAGTACAGTGCAGCACAGCCTCTGGAACTGCCTTGATTTGAATCTGCACCACCCCTTAACTGCTCTGGGCCTCAGTTTCCCCATCTAGGAAATAGAGGTGATAATGACAGTATGACCCACCTCCTAAGGTTGTTGTAGGGATTGAATGATGGTCCATGTAATGTGCTTATAGCAGTGCCTGGCATATAGTAAGTGCTCAATAAATGTTGGCTCTTCCTCCAGCAGGGGGATAGAGGATGGATTTGGGTGGGTAAAGATTAAACAAGGCAGGGAGACTAACTGCAATTCTTCAGATGATGATGGTACTAAATAGTGGCAGTGGGTATGGAGAGGAGGCGCCAAAGCTGAGGGAGATTTGGGAGATGACATGGTATTTGATTAGAGTGAAGGAGAGGTGGTGATGGCTTGAAGGCTTCTGGTTTGAGTGACCGAGTAAATGGTGATACCAGCGAGCTGGAGAGAGAAGCAGCGAGAGAGAGGCTGTGGGAGATCACGAGCAGGGTGAGATGGCAGGAGGCAGGTGTGTGACGTCCACGTGGAGATGGCAGGAAGTACAGCGATAGGCGACAGGCTTCTGCAGCTCAGGTGAGAAGCAGTGGCTGGAGCTGGCTGTACATGGGGGTAGATGAATTTTGGGCTGTGTTTAAGATTTCCTAGAGAGAATATGGGGAGAAGAAAAGGCCCAGGATGGAATGCTGGGGATCACTAATATTAAGGGATGGACAGAGGAAGCAAAGTTCGAAAAGGAGAATAAGATAAAACTCTGAGGTAGGAGGAGGACCAGAAGGACTGTACAGGGAAACCAAGGGAGCAGAGTGACTTCTGAGGAGGGGAGGGATCAGCAGGGTCAAACGTCTTACAGAGGCCACAGAAGGTAACTGGAAAGGCACATGCTGGCTATCCTTAATCCTAAGACTACTTGAATGTTTTGGAAATTGGAATATGACTTATAGCCTATGTATCCATATAATATAATTTTCCCCCAAGAAGCTATTATTAAATCGATGTTATGTCTTATAATCAGGGCATCTTAGAATTGAGGGATACGATGATTGGTGACTTAGTAAAAGCAATTTTAATTCCAAGGTGAGAGCCACAGCCGTCCTGCAGTAGGTTGAGGGGTGAATGGGTGTGTTGGGCTGGAAACAGTGTGTGTAGGCTACTTCTTGGAGAAGTTTGGAGAGGAAGGGAGGAGAGGATTCCAGCTAGAGAGGTGAGCAAGACTAAGGAAAGGTTTTCTGTTCAGAAAAGGACCAAAAATCTATTGATGCCTTTGACTGTGTGGGTTTTTTTTGTTGTTGTTATGAACTTAGAATAAATTAAAATTTGCAACGGAAAGGATGAAATTTCCTTCTGTTTTGGTTTGCCAATGTGCGTTAGTAGGACGTTTGTATGTGGGTACAGTATGCCAAGTTTAGGTCCAAGGTTAAGTGCAAAGGGGGGCGATGATGAGGCAAGGAAAATAGGAAATTGATGAGGAGAAGGGGAGGGAAAACTGGGGGTGTCCTGGTGTAGATGGTAGATGGGGTGTGGTGAGGGTAAACCCTCAGCTCTGCTGGTCTCTCCGTGAAGGTTCTAGAAATGAGTTAGCCTTTCTAAGGCAGTTATGATGATAGAGGAGAGATGGTTTGGTGGGCTGGAGTGTAAGCATTTTTCAGGCAGTATTTATACTCATTTACATGTCTTACTGAAGAAAATTTTGAAGTCGGAAAAAGAAGTGTGTGTAGAAGGGCCTAGGGGCAGATGAGGAAGATAATAAGATATAATACTTATTTGGTACTTTCTGTTGATCAGACACGATTGTAAGCACGTTATTTGTATTAGCTTGTCTAACTCGCAACAACAGCCCTTTGATGTAGAAACTATTATCCTGGTTTTACAAATGGGCAAACTGAGGTTCAAAGTGACTAAGTGGCTTGCCTGGGTTGCACAGCCTAGTAAGTAACAGAGCTGGGGTCTGAATGCAGGCTGTCTGGTTCCAGAGGCTTGTTTAGGAATGAGAAGGGGAATGTGGACCAGGGTGGCTGAGGTGTCCTGTGGTGACTAGGGAGGGCTTGGTGGTCAGGCTGGCCTTGGCTCATGGTGTGATATGTGGCCCCAGTAGAGTTTTGAGTATTGGCAGTCAGACCACAGGCAGACATCAGCAGTCCTGCATTAGAGGGAGGTGAGAAGGTATTGAGGTGAAGGGCTCTGTATTTGAAACAGAGAAGAGAAGCCTGGACTAGATAATGGCAGTCAGGATTAATGAGGAGAAGGGGAAGATGCCTGTAGCCCAATATGTTTGTGTATATATGGGGGTGGAATTCCTGAATGTGTTGTAGATCTGGTGATCTGAGAGGGCTCAAGAAAGAACTTGAGCTAAAGTCAGAAGTAATGCAGAAATAATCACCAAATTCATATACTGTGATTTTTTTTTTTTTTGGTTGCCCTTTATTTCAAAGACTAGTTTTTAGTTTAATTAGAAGCTGTTCTTTATTTGGGTGGTGTCGTAGGTTGGGTTCTTGGGAAGCTGACTCTGAGGTGTCAATTATTGTACCAAGACATTTATTAGGGAGTGCTCTTGGGATCCACACCTAATGGAAAGGAGGGGAAGGATGCAGCATCGGGCAGAGGGAGAAGCTGAGTTGCACTGTAGTCCCAACAAGGCCTCAGCCTGCTCCAGAAGGAGCTTTGGAGCAGGAATAGCCCTTCAGTGTTGTCCGGAGTTGGGGTGATGGAGCTGGGGCTTTGTACTCCCTCCTCCTCTTGTTGATCAGGCATACAATGCTGGTTGCCCCTGCCCCTGGGCTAGGCGGTTGGTTTTCTGGCTCTCCTCAAAGAGGGCTGATAGCTGAAGGCCTTCCTCTGGCAGCACTCCCAGCAGCTGGGACAACGCGTCCTTCATTCCTGAAGAGAGATCTGGTTCGAGCATCACAGTTCGCATCATAGGTAGCAAACTATAAAATTTGAGAATCTTAAAAGAACAAAATTCCCATCATCAAAGCAGAGCAAGCTGACTTGGGCAAAAAGCAAAGCATTTCATTAGCAGGATTCCTGATGAGAGCTGAGTAAGGGACTTCCGTGTCCTCAGTTGTCAATTTACTAAAGGCTATTTAATTTAATTTCTGCATCTGTTATTATTTTTGATTATACATTTGATGTTAAAGTATAATGCCAAATATACAGATACAGGTAATATTATTAGAAATAATTTATAGATAAAATGGACCTGACTTCTAAAAGAATGACATTTTATTACATACTTTGCCTCCATTAAAATGACGGCTTTTCTGAGAAACTGTGTGGTTTATAAAAGTATGGTGTAATAAGGAAAAAAAGGGGAGTCTAGGAGTAACCTGTGTGCTCATCGCAGCTCTGCCATGTTCTACCTATGAAAACGTAGGCCAGCCACTTAACCTTTTCGACACTTAATTTTCTCATGTGTCAAATGGGGGAGAGAATACTTATCTGGATTAATTCACAGTGGTGTTGTGTCAAGTCGAAATAAATGTATATAAAAGTACTCTCTAGACATTAATGCCAAAACAAAAAAACAAAGTACCTAAAGGACTTTAGAGAACATCTAGTTCAAACCTTTCCTGTTTCAGATGAGAAAAGGGAGCCTTTGAGGTCAAGAGACCATATTCAGTTATGTGAGTAATTAAATAAAGGAAAAATGTACTTGCATGTATCTAAGGAAGACTGGACTCTGACTTAAAGCTATAAATAAAGCATACTTCATGAGTTTGAGCTTTGAAAACATGCATGAAAGTAATTGTGTGAGTGCGAGATTGTAAGAGTATCATGCTATTCCAGAATCCTCTGTCACTGGTGCTTACTTTGGAATGTTTGAGCCCCTCTTGTGAACCTTGCTGCCTCCCTCCCACCATGTTATTTAATTAGCCTTGTCTCTGCTCTCCTCCTCTCTCCACCCCGACCACACACCACCTTTTCTTTTCCTTCTCCATTGGGCAGGAGGAGATTCTAATGAGATGATCTGAGCCCATTTCTGATCCTGACTCCATCTCAGAACCAGCTCTGTGATCTTAGGGACGTTTCTTTACTTCTCGTCATCTCATGTAAAATTGGGATAATAATACTTGCCCTGCTGACCTGTCATGCTTGTTTCAAGGATCAAATGATATAATGTATGTGAAAACACTTTAAAAAGCACAAAATGCCCTACAAATGTCGAGTGTTATTATTATCCTCATTATTGCTCCTCCTTTCTCTTCCCTCCTTTGCCTCCAGCTTTGCTAGCTTCCTGCTGGGATTGTCTGACAAGTGGCTGCAATTATTTGTTGAGAAGCTTTCTCTGAACCATGAAAGGTCATTTGGGAAGCTGCTGTTGGACCAGCAGGAATCTAATTAGATTATTGGGAGTTATAGAGGGAAAAAACATGGAAGAAATTGTACTTGAAGGACATATTTTATTTCCATTGATAAAAGAAGCATTGGCCTGTAATTGTAGCAAAAAGCATTTAAAGAAAGTATTTAGGGGGGCCGGCCCGGTGGCCCAAGCGGTTAAGTGCGCACTCCGCTGCGGTGGCCCGGGGTTCGCCGGTTCGGATCCCGGGCGCACACTGACACACCCGCTTGTCGAGCCATGCTGTGGCTGCGTCCCATATAAAGTGGAGGAAGATGGGCATGGATGTGAGCCCAAGGCCAGTCTTCCTCAGCAAAAAGAGGAGGATTGGCAGATGTTAGCACAGGGCTGATCTTCCTCAGGAAAAAAAAAAAAAGAAAGTATTTAGGATATTGGTGAGAGGGTGTGAGACCCGGGAGGGGCTTGAATCTCTTGAATCCCCTCACCTTGGGATCTCAGCATGGAGAAGCCACTGGAGAGTCCCAGCCTTAGATGCCCCTTAGATATCGGCTGGGAGCGCCGTTCCCTCTCCAGGGCGTTTCTCTGTCTGCTCCTGATGGGCCCACCTCTCTCCTTCTCCTCAGGCTCCCTGGCATTGGGCAGGGGCGCAGTGTACACTTCTGAACCTGAAGTCAAAATTGCTGAGAATAAGTGTGAGTTGGGAGGGGCTGTGGAGGGTGGCAGGGGTGGGTGAACAGGTGCAGACCCCTGGGTACCTGGAGAACATCCAGCCCTGACTGTGGTTCGGGGCCATTTCCCCATCTTCTCCATTTGCCGCTGCTCCTTCCTCCTGCTCATGTGGATCCTGTCTGCAGCCGCCAAGTTGCCCTGCTCCTACTCGGGCTTCTCTTCTCCCCGTGTGGAGTGGAAGTTTGCCCAAGGTGACACCACCAGCCTTGTTTGCTATAACAACAAGATCACAGGTGAGTGGCTCCGCCTCCTTCCTGATTGCCTGGGTTGTGGAGGGATTGCCTGGATTCCAGGGCAGAGGCACACCCTGGGGCTCAAGTCCCCGTGGGCTTCCTGGGCTTCCTATCGCCCTTCCTGGGGGAAGAAGAGGGCCCCTTGTGCCTTGAGTGCCACCGTCACCAGCTTCTCTTAGCTTTCCAGCTCACTCTGCCCCCATCTCCTCTCTCCTGGTAGGTTCCTATGAGGACCGAGTTACTTTCTCACCTAGCGGCATCAGCTTCCAATCTGTGACCCGGAAAGACACGGGGACATATACTTGTATGGTCTCTGATGAGGGCGGCAACACCTACGGGGAGGTCAGCATCCAGCTCACTGTGCTTGGTACGTGCCACGTGTCTTCTGTGTGGGCTTAGAATCCATTGCTTCCCTAAACCCTTAGCAGGCTCTGCTAAGCTTTGCAGCTCATTAATGGTAAGAATGCTCGCAGCTGGGGGGATTCAGAGTCACGGTGTTGCCAGAGAGGGGATGAGCCCCTGGTTAGGGGGAAACTAAGGGCTTGGTAAGGGAGGGAGGCTGGAGCTGATGGATGGGGGTGTCATCCTAGTTGGCTGCTTAGCCTCCAGGCAGCCCTCCCTGCCCTTGTGATCACCCCTTTCTCTCCCTTCCCAGTGCCTCCATCCAAGCCTACAGTCAGCATCCCTTCCTCTGCCACCATCGGGAACCGGGCAGTGCTGACCTGCTCAGAGAGTGATGGTTCTCCACCCTCTGAATACACCTGGTACAGGGATGGGGTACAGATGCCTACGGAGCCCAAGAACAACCGTGCCTTCATCAACTCTTCCTATACCCTGAATCAGAAGACAGGGGAGCTGGTATGGATGAGGTGGGAGTGAAAGGTGGTGGGGCATGGTTATAGAACCCCTGAAGGTGGGGAGGAAGAGCAAGCAACAAGGTGAACTTGGCATTAGAGTCAGGAGACGTAAAAGATACGTACTTGGCTTCTTTAAGCAGGAAGCCAGTTTGTTTTCTGCCCTCCAGGTCTTTGACCCCGTGTCGGCCTCTGATACTGGAGAATATTCTTGTCAGGCACAGAATGGGTATGGGACACCCATGAGGTCAGATGCTGTGCGCATGGACGCTGGTGAGCCAGGGTGTGGCGGGGGCTTGAGCTTGGACGTAGGGTGGGGGTAGGATCTGCTTTTCATCCTGGCTTTGGCGGTGTTGTCAGTACCGTGAGTGAGCATCCAGGTGCCTGCCCTCTCATTTGTGTCTCGTAGTGGAGTTGAATGTGGGGGGCATCGTGGCAGCTGTCCTCGTAACACTCATTCTCCTTGGATTCTTGATTTTTGGCATCTGGTTCGCCTATAGCCGAGGCTACTTTAACAGTAAGTATTTGCCCTTAAAGACTCTCCTTTGTATCGTCCCCATTTCAGGGCACATTTCTTGGGTGCTGAGTACTGACCCTGATGCTGAGCCCGCGTGTGTGGGGTTTATTTGCCAGGGAGCACCAGCTACCCACATCTCAGTGCTGCATGTAGTGCCCCCATCTCCCTGCGCCATGCTGTCTTCTATCTGTTGACACTCATGGTCCCATTTCTTCTCTTTCAGGAGCAAAGAAAGGGTGAGTGAGGTGCTGTCCTGGGGCTCTCTGAAGTTGAGAACATGGATGCATGTGGTTTGAAGCTGAGATGGGCCCAGGGGTAGGGGTTGGAGGTGAAGGCAACCAGCATGGTAGGGAAGACATCTGGATTTCTACCCCTGTTCACTGTGACTCTGTGCCTGTCCTGTGTCCCTCCACCCATGCCTCCCTACTGAGAACTCTGTGCTTCTATAAAGTTCTCAATTCTGGCCTCTAAAGTTGGCAAGCAGAGGTTAAGGAGAGGTTAGGAGACTGAGCGTCTCCGTTTTCTGGCTTGTCTACAGGACCTCGAGTTCAAGTAAGAAGGTGATTTACAGCCAGCCCACTGCTCGAAGTGAAGTGAGTCTGCCTATCCTGGGATGGGGAGGGCCTCCCTCATGGAGGGAGGGGTTTCTAGCCTGTGTTTGTGTTTGGGGGATTATCAGCTAAAGAAGACTCTGGAGAGCTGACTTGGACATTTTATTTCCCAGGGGGAATTCAGACAGACCTCATCATTCCTGGTGTGACCTGGTCCACCTCATCTCCTGTCCTCTGTGCTTGCCTTGCTCAGGTGCTACCAGACTCTGGCCCCTGATGTCTGTAGTTTCACAGGATGCCTTATTTGTCTTCTAGCCCCACAGGGGCCCCCACTTTTATCTTAGTTAGGATGTGTTTTTTAATAATGTCAGCTACGTGCCCCTTCCTTCTTCATCTCTCCCTTCCTTTCCCACCACTGCGGAGTGTCCTGGGACTTGTTTAAAGCTTTCATTCCCCATCCCTACGTGGGATCAGGCAGGACTCCTGAGTGATGTCTGTGGACTTCCAGCTAGACAGCAAGAATGACAAGCAGTCCCTCCCCTCCTGCGTGTAGTGGCCCTCCAGTAGGGATCTTGAGCCCTGTTCCTTGGCTCTTTCCTCCCATACTGTGGACTGGTACCAGCTGTTCGGGAGACCACAGCAGCTGAAATGGTTGTTTGGTGACAACGTCAAGTCTCTTCCGCCTCTGCAGCCCACTTTCTTCTGTCTTCCCATGGGAAGTGCCACTGGGATCCTCCTGCACCGTTTTCCCATCCTTCTCCTGAACAGAAGCAGACTGACACCAACTGTGTCTCTAGGAAAATGGGGGCTTTTATTGTGGAGAGCACAGTGAGCCTTCAGGGGACACGGAGCAGAATAGTTTTAAAACCGCTGATCTAAAGAAAAGAAAGCTGGAGCTGGTAGCTCAAGCCGTCACCCTTCCCTTGGCTGGAACAACCAGATGGAGCCTTATAAGATGTGTCTGCAAGGCTGTGGGGATGTGTGTAGCAGTCTTAGCTCTTTGCTGAGTGTGTGTGTGTGTGTGTGTGTGTGTGTGTGTGTGGTCTTAGCTCTATGCTGAAACCTAATGTGTGCTGGAGGGCTTCTTAGCTCTTTGGTGAGATTGTGTGTGTGTGTGTTTCTATGTAGCTGGATGTTGCTGGAAATAAAAACATGATTTGTCAAAGCTTCTTGTTGTGGGGGGTGGAGGGAATAGGTTCCTTGGCTCCTTTGTGCGAACATAAAAATGCCTAAAGCCTGCTTCCCCGCAACCTGGGCTGCTCCCTGGCTCCCTGTCTCACCCCTTCCTGGTTCCTGTCTCATGGTGGAGCTTCTGAACATTGGTCCCTCATTCCAGAGCCCTCTTGTGGCAGGCCTTCCTCTGCAGGAGGAGGGCACCCTGGGCAAAGCTGTGCTCTGGAATTCTACTTGGTCTGTTCCACCATGTCAGAGAGAAATTGCCCACCCTCCCACCTCTGCCAACCAGATGCATTAAAAGACTTCTCTAAAGCTAAGGGAAATCTGCTCCCGAGCCTGAAGGAAGGAGGAGTTCTTGAACGTTTTGGAGAACTCCTTTATAGTGGTGTAAAGTAGTAGCTACTACTTTATTTAGTGGGGTGGGTGTTTAAGGAGAATATAATTTGAGACCAGGTCATGAAGTGATCTGCATTTGAGACCAGGAGTCAGCAGGGTAGGCCTGCCTGTTATAGCTCTCCTCTTCCCATTTGGACCCTTCTTTGCCCTTAAATTCCTGTTTCCTCATCTACCACAGTCCCCCAGTCTATTTATTAACTAGCAAGAGGGCAAATAAGGAGTCTTCCAGGGTTGATTTTGCTTATTTCTTTCTGTGGAGGATACTAAATGCCATGTTGCCATATTCTGTTCCCTTATCTGGAAATTCCTCACAGAACTGAGTTTTCTTTTTTATCAAGGATCCAAAAAGAAAAACAAAAAACAAATCAAACCATCAGTTAAGGGTCATGCACCAATAAAAAATAAATTTTCCAGATGGAAATAAAATCTAATTAGACAATAAAAGTAGAGATGAAATGGTTCAGTAAGAATGAGATTTTGAAAGTATGTTTCAGTTCTGTATCATGGTTGGGAGACAGGGTAGGAGGGATATGGAGAAAAGGCCACAGAGGAGCAGAGGTGATTCATTGCTCCTGTAGGTCTGAGGTGAATGGTCCCTCCCTCCTGAGGTCACTCAAGATAACTATGAGTCAGTCCTTACCAGCCTTGGAATTTACCTCTCCAGTTTATACAGCCCCTGTGAGTTGGAAAACACCTTGTCTGCTTTCATTTTAGAATGTCAAAACTAATTTTTGTAATAAATGTTTATTTTTCACATTGAGTTTGTTTACATCCTGAAGTTCTACATTAAAAGAATTGGGACTCCCAGAGTGACTTGGATGTTCAAAATCTTGCTGATAGTCTTATTGATTAAGAGATTAGGGATATCCTTCCACAAAGTCTGATAGTTACATTTTAATTTAACTTGGCCTGGGCCGGCCCTGTGGCTTGGTGGTTAAGTGCGCGCGCTGCGATGCTGGCGGCCCGGGTTCGGATCCCGGGTGTGCATCAAGGCACCACTTCTCTGTCCAGCCTGAGGCCGAGTCCCACATACAGCAACTAGAAGGATGTGCAGCTGTGACAGACAACTATGTACTGGGGCTTTGGGGGCAAAAAATAAAAAAAAAAAAAAATCTTTAATTTAACTTGGCCTGTGCTTGAATGAGAATGCCTCCGATGAACATTTCCCACGTTAAACGGAGACTGGGGGGTAGGGAGTGGGGCAATTCCATGGAGGTTGGTGATTGGGGATGAAATGAGTGTTAAGGATGTGTTAGTGCCTGTCTTTACGGATCAAGGCCAGGGCAAGGGAAGTGGAGGGAAATGGGGTTGGTCCATTTCTGAACGAGGGGACAGTATGTTCTATGGGACACAGAGATAGCTTAGTAAGGGGGATAAATGGAGGAAAAGTACAACTTACATTAAAAAACTATATCTCTTTAATTCTGTAGATCCTTCAATTTATTATCCCTTTTCTGGTACTAGCTATAAAAATCTAATATGAAACGGAACTTTTTCCTTTTCTTGGATAACTTGTTGAATGATTGCTGTCATCCATTAACTTATTTACTAGATATTATTACTATTCTATTTCACAGATGGAGAAAAGAGGCACGTAAATGCTAAGGGACTTGCCCAAGTTCACACAACCCACAGAAGTGGTAAATTGGATTCAAGACAGCTGGGGATGGGAGGTTGGGTAGCCTGTCATGCTCACGGTGACCCTGGAAGGGAAAGAATCAGGAGGAGGAGCTGAAAACAGAAGTTAACTCTCTGTAGAGGTGGATATGTGGGTGTTAGGAGAGAGGATATTGAAAGTAATAATGTCCACCTGGAGTTTCCTCTGCACTGTGACTATCACTTGAGTTTCCTCTGCACTGTGACTATCACTTGAGTCTGCCTACCCAACAGGATCTACAGGACAGAGTGAGACAACTTATGAAGTTCTTGATAAATGGAGGGCCTGTGAGTGCCACCTGCTGGAATGAAAGATATAACCTCACTGCATTTTTTTGCCAGTGACCCAAATGAAAAACAAGGCATGCATACCATATTTGTGGATGGAAAGGAGTTAGATGGAACAGCAACTTCATCAGCTTGCAGAATGAGAATTCAAAAAGGCAGGGATGATAAACTCCATCTTACAAAGTGAAATTCAATAGTAATAAGTGTAAGATTTTGCCTTTGGGTCCCAAAACTCAACTCTTCATGTATAATTTGGAAAGGGGCAGTCCCCGTGCCGTAGCAGTTAAGTGCAGGCGCTCCGCTGCTGGCGGCCTGGGTTCGGATCCCGCGCGTGCACCGATGCACCGCTTGTCAGACCGTGCTGTGGCGGCATCCCATATAAAGTGGAGGAAGATGGGCACAGATGTTAGCCCAGGGCCAGTCTTCCTCAGCAAAAGAAGAGGAGGATTGGCATGGATGTTAGCTCAGGGCTGATCTTCCTCATACACACACAAAAATAAATAAAAAATAAAGTTGGAAAGATGTAGAATATCTAGAACTAGAGAGGCACTCTTTGCTGATTGCTCTATACCCCTCTATCCAGTTCTATTTTAGGTTCCTCACTTTAAGATGATAGTAGACAAACTGGAATATGTTCACAGAAAGTGATCTGTATGGTGAAGGGACTTAAAACTATGCCATATAGAAACTTCTAAAAGAATCAATGTCAAGCCCAGAGAATCAAAGACTCAGGCAAGACAAAATTACAGTCTTTAGATATTTGAAGATTGCTGTATGAAAGGCCTCAACGGAGAAAATTAGGACCAACGGATGGATGTCCAAAGAAGACCTGTTATAATTCAGAATGTGTCCTTTAGAGCTTTATGGAGGGGGTGTTGTATAGTGGAAAGAATATCAGTTTTGGAATCAGGCAGACTTTGTTTTATTCCAGCCTCTTCTGTGACATTGCCAAAGTTTTCTTTCTCAGTCTCAGTTTTGTCATCTAAAAAATGGTAATAATGCCTACCCTATGAATTTTTCAGAAGCAAATGAGGCAAGATCTGTAAAGTACAGTACCTCACATAATAGCTGTCCACGGTCACTTTCAAACTGGATATTTTAGGCCAGGGGTTGGCAAACTTTCAGAAAATGGCCAGGGAGTATATATTTTTTTACTGTTACAAAAGTTTATTTCACAAAAATTTCATTAAGAAAATGTATACCACTCGATTCTTATATTGTAGTAAAATAGATGCTGTGGAGAGGGAACACGTGGAAGCAATTGAGTTCTATGGTCAATGCAACTGTTGTTTATACTCGTTCGAAGGCTTCTAACATGATAATATTTCCTCTTGTTACCACCGGTCCAATATTGTTCTGTTGCCCACTAGTTGCCATCTCCACACATTCACCTCTCACAAGATTCATAAAGAGATCAAATCTCCATAATATTCCTTGAACATGTCTGCCACCATTTAATTTCAGTGATAACTTCTTGTTCATAAATTTTTTCAACTTTATGAGCTTTGCTCATGGTGGCTACTCAGCAAACTCAAAGATGCCTGCAGAGAATAAATTTTTTAGACTTTGCAGTTGTAGCAAGAAAGCATCCATAGACAAAGAATGAGCATGGCTGTGTTCCAATAAAACTTCATTTATGGACACTTGAAATATGAGCATCATAATTTTCACGTCATGAAATAATTAACTTTTGATTTTTTAAAAATCATTTAAAAATATAAAAACCGTTCTTAGATCCCAGGCTGCACAAAAACAGGTGATGGGTTGGCAGTTGGTATTTTAATCATAGTTGAAGTTAAAAGAAAGCAGCTAATACAATTTGTTTTTTTTGTTTTTTGTGAGGAAGACCAGCCCTGAGCTAACATCTATTGCCAATCCTCCTCCTTTTTTCCCCAAAGCCCCAGTAGATAGTTGTATGTCATAGTTGCACATCCTTCTAGTTGCTGTATGTGGGACGTGGCCTCAGCATGGCCGGAGAAGCGGTGCGTCGGTGCGCGCCCGGGATCCGAACCCGGGCCGCCAGTAGTCGAGCATGCGCACTTAACCGCTAAGCCACGGGGCTGGCCCCCACAATTTGTTTTTGAATGCAGAATCTAAGATTCCTTTGGTCCAAGTCTCTAACATCCCGAGGGAGAAAGGAACTGAGAAAGGAACTCAGAAGACAGCGTGGATGGGAGCAGCTGGACAAGAATGAGGGCTAAATCCTCAGAGCCTACAGGAGAGAAAGGAGTAAATGGAAAACCAGCATGTCAACGAGAAGTGATGGGGATGAAGGTATAACTGGTAGGAAGACCCATACCCATCGAATCATCTTATTTTATTTTTTTAAATTTATTTTTATTTTATTTTTTTGTGTGTGAGGAAGATCAGCCCTGAACTAACATCCACGCCAATCTTCCTCTTTTTGCTGAGGAAGACTGTCCCTGGGCTAACATCTGTGCCTATCTTCCTCCACTTTATATGGGATGCCGCCACAGCATGGCCTGACAAGCGGTGTATCAGGGCACACCGGGGATCCGAACCCAGGCCGCTAGCAGCGGAGTGCGCACATTTAACCACTACGCTACAGGGCCGGCCCCCATCGAGTCATTTTAGAGCAACACTTAAATCCAGTTTCTGTTTCTAGTTGATGCTTAGAGTAAACTATGTGGAATAATAATACAATAGCTTTCAGTGATAAATCTATTATTATTTATAGCTCCTTAACTGGTGTCACCAACTTCCTTGAGGATGGAGAGCGTGTGTTCATTGTAAGTGCCTGATGTCTGGCACATCGTACCAATCAATAAATGGTGAATGAATAAATGTCAAGTTTCAAAATCTGAATGAGAGAAGTCGAGATAACTGAGGAGCTGCTATGTTAGCTGTCGCCAGCATTATCACCTCTTGTTATCTGTGTGCAAGCCAAATGAAAATAAGCAAAAGGGAGAGGGGGGCCAGAGGATCCCAGGCCTTGAATTGTTGGCACCACAAACATTTTGTTCTTGGTGTGTGGGCAGTAGAGTCAGTGGAGCAGGCTGTGGGGCCAAGAAGAGATGAAGTGGTCTCATTTACTTGTTTCTGATATGCTGAGTCCTTTCCAGCGGGCCGGGCTCCAGGGTTCAACGCCAACCTACCTCTGAGCCCAGCTCAAGGTTTAAGGTATTGAGATAGCCAATAGGGACCACATTGAAACATTCCCCAGGGAGACATCAACCTATAAAAAAAGGCTAAATGAGGAGAACGAGGTCCGTTTATCCCCACTGGGAAGGAGACTGGCTAGGGCAGTGTAGCTAGGGGGATAAATGAGGAGCAAGGACAACTCTCAGGGCCCCAGGCCTTTCTCTCTCACCCTTTTTCACCAATGTTTTAGCAACATTCCTAACAAGCTTGTGACCTCTAATTCTGTTTGCACACAGGACACCTAAAGTCAGTGTCTATATTGTAGGGGAAAAAAATCTTTTCCCCTCTACCCTCCTAAACTCTCCACTCAGGACCCTGTAAACGACTGACAAAAGACAGATTAACAAGAGACAAACAGAGGTTTATTAACATGTGCATCACGCATACATGAGGGAGCACTCAGAGATGAGTAACTCAAAGGAGTGGTTGGAACATGGGCTTATATAGCATCTTAACAAAAAAATAATAAATTTTTAGAGAAGTGATGAGACAACGGAAAAGAGCTTTGAGTGTCTAGGGTGGAAAATTGTGGGAAAGTAAATATATGGGGAAAACTAAAGGAAGAGGAGGGCTAGTTAGTAAGGTTTGTTATGTACATTCTTCTGGTGCCATCTCTGGGCTAAGAGTCTGGAGTTGTTGTCTCTGGTGGTT